TGTTCATTTGTCCCTCCAAAACATGTGACGTTCGGGGTCCCAAAACCATCTGCCCACCCTGCTGGCTCGGTTTTCCGGCACCTTCGGGACCAAGGTTTCCATGTGAGCAAGGAGAGGTGGCAAAAGAGCCTCCTGAGCGACAGGAAGAAGGTAGACCGGTAGACCATGGATTGTACCCTGATGGCCTTTCACTCAAAATTTCAAAAGTATTCCCAGATTTCCCCACACCTCCTGTCCCACATCCGAAAAGACGGTGCTTGGGGTGAGTTTGGGGGGTTTAAGTACCTTCTGAGGATGTGGTAGGGGGGATTTGGGGTGTCCTGGGGGGGACTACGCTTCGTGGGTCCTGGACCCACTGATGACCACTGGGCACCCAAACAGGATCCAGGATGGTCCAGAGTCCAGAATTGCATCGAATTGCATGTCGATCTGAAGAACTATGGGACTTGGCGACCCAGCAGCCCAGCAGAACTCGCATCCGGCGAAGACACGAAACCGTCGGTCGGTCAAGGTATTCAGATGAACCCTTTGTTGTTGTCACGGGACTCTCCTGCTTTTATCTAATGTCTGCTTATTCTGCTTTCTTTGGAAAAGGACGCAGAAAAGCCGGCAAACATGTTTGATGCCCACCTTTGGTCCCAAAAAAGATCTGTCAGAATCCGTCAGCACCTCATAATCGCTTTGTCAATCTTTGCAGCATGGCAACCAAGTCGTTCCACTGATCAATGGTGCTACAATATATTGTACTCAGATATGTGGTCCAAACCTTTGCATCACAAACTTTGCCAGCAATGGGTGAAGACACATGAATACACAATGTTCTCTCTCCATCGCCCTCGGGTGATAGGCGTCAATTCAGCTCTGAGTCTCAACCCCCAACGGCTCCAAATACAGGGCAGAACTGAGCTCCGTGCCAACTCCTGGCAAGCCAGGCAGCTCCGGAGATCGTCTTCGCCCCCCCGAAGCAAATGGGACGGACTTGGCAGGGCAACTTTTGGCACGGACTTATGGCCACTCAGGTCCCCTGAAACGGAGCACCCAGTGAGGACTGGAGCCCAGTTAGGACAATTGAATTGAACATCCTCAGCCATCTCAAGTCTTGATCAGTCGTATTGGCGGTCGGGAGCCGCCAATCTCATAGATCGCCCAACGCTAAAGCAAAGGAGATCTTAAGTGGATTGAGAGTAGATGGCCCCAAAAGGTGGATTGAGGGTAAAAGACATATAGGGGTTTGTGCCATCTACTCTGAAACCACTGTAAGTGGTATGGCGTCCAAAGCACCGCTGCGATCGCCCAAAGCTGGGCCAAGAATCTGAACAAGACCGACCGCTGCGAGGCCCTGATGCCGGACCAGAGGATTGAGACGGGGCTTTTCTCCGTTGGAGACCGGGAAGCAAAGGAAAACGACCCAAACACAAGCAGACGGGTGCTTCATGCGGAATGAGGCCCACTGTAGCCTTAGACTTAGGACCCCTTCCATCTTACATATCCTTACGGACCACCAGCATGGACCAGTGAGAAAGTGCGAGTCATGGCCTCCCCCAGCTTCGGCAGCTCGCCAAAAGGCCTTGGGGAAATCTTCCAGGAACTGTTCCGAGAGAGAGGAGTTCAAATCCACTGCAGAAGTCTTATACCTAAAACACTGGCGGTGAGTGAGATTTAAAAAACCTGCTACAAAATGCTACAAGTAAAAGCATCAAAACCATTGTCCTAAGTATATCGTAGTTGCGAGATCTGAAGCATACACTCCTTGTCGGGTTTTCCTCACATGGTTACGAATCAATGCAACCCTGCTTGGTACTGTATTTGGATAGCAGGGCCATTTAAGGGGCCATGCCATCGTCTTCCTTGATGATTTCGTGTACCTGATCTGACCCTCGGCCACGTTCGCATCACACTCAACCCAGCGACTGTAAGCTGCCATGTTGGATCAATTCTGATAAATGGCCAGCCAAACCCTAACAGCATCCAACACCCAGCTGAGCTGAGATTCTGGCGTCTGGCTTGGCCCGAGCATGCGGCCAAAGCTAGCTCCTCCCGCAACACTGCTTGGTTTGCCAAGAGCCAGAGGTCTCAAGAAAAACAACAGTGCTGAAAGTTGCCGCCAATTGCAGTAGAATCCGCAGAACCACTTTGCGCTCCAAACAAGTCTCATGATGACATCATGAGTGCAAAACCTGTCCATGTACACCACTCTAGCTATGGTACAACAAAGGCACCGACCCTCCATCCACAGCCAGCGCGAAGAGAACTCACCTGGCCACAAGTAGAGGTCACCCATGGCAAAGCTCAGAGACTCCAGCTCGAAGGGCCTCGGATAGGCCGTGCAGCTCTCCCTCCATCCATGTGGAGGAGGAAAGCATTCACTTCTGACCCACAGTCAAATGGCATGGACATGGCGCCCAGTGGCCAGTGCCTGATCCCATTTGCATGAGTGCCATGAGTGCGATGGTATCTCTTTGGAGTGTGCATCTTCTGAATCCGACTGTTTCTGCTGAGACGCCATGGTTCCTCCGTATGGCCATATGAATCATGAATCATCATGAATCTACGTAACCCGTAACTCGTGATGCCATCAGCGGTCATAAAGTGCCAGAAAGTGGCATAGGCATCTCACACCAAGATAGGGTGCTAAAGCAGTGCTAAGATAAACATCTGGATAATTGTAAGATAAGCCAAACTCATATTAATATCTGATAATGATGTCTGATATTATCTGGATAATATCTGAGGGATGATGGACCCAAAACTTAACCCCAAACTGCTGTGGATTGCACTTCCGCACGCCCATCTGTCCCGATGTGGTGGGGACATATCTGGGAGCCCAGCTCAAGGTGGAAGGAAGCTCCATGGTAGCCCTCGATGGCTACTTTGGGCTGGGAATCCTGAAAAGGTGTGAGGAAGAATGCGAGAATCAAGAGAAGGAGAAGAAAGAACACAAAGAAACAAAGAGCAGGAAAAAAAGACCAAACGAAGGAAGAATCAAATGAAAGTAAAGGTGGCTGTGGCGGTAGGATGCGGTAGGAGAGGGAGGGGTCAAAGTTGGTCAAAGGCACAGAAAGCCATCAGAAAGCCTGTTTGTTGAATATGTTTTACCATGGTTGACCAAGCACCATTCATGTCCAGCCCATGTCATTGCCCATGTCGCCTTCTCAAATTCAAGAACACCCTCCAATCTGCTCATGTTGGGGGTCCGAGGGAGGAAGAATCGGTGAGAATCAAGTGGAGAAAGTCTGGGGCACAAAACGGTCCTATTAACAAATCTACACCCGAAACAATCGTGGAAATGGAAGTGGAACAAACTACCTGGCCCAGGCATTCGGAAGTTTGGGTCTTCCCAGGGGCCATGAAACTCATCCATTTTCCACGTCCATGATCAGTTCAGAAAGTTCAGGGAGTGGAACATGTGCCTTGTCCAAACTCAAATGGCAAACAGTTCATCCCCGAACATGCGCGTCGAACCAGTGGAACATAGACCTCCGGCTGGGAGTCTGGCTAAAGGCTGTCTCCCGGAAAATACACTTTTGTAAGCGTGTTAAATAGTTTTCATTTTTTTTTCAACTTGTTGTTTAGTGGGGAACCAATCTCCCAAAAAGGTTATCCTCCCTCCAACGCACATGGAAATGGACAACCCCCTCTTGTAAAGGAACGTCGTCTTTAACAGTTGTCATTGTCCACTTCCATCATGATTGTTGGAGGGAGCGTGCAGGTTCTCCACTGATTGGAATGGGTTGCACGCCATCCTATTCACCCCTAGATTTGGGCACCACTGGCCACCTCGTCCGAGCAAAGCTTGGCAGGTGTTCCACTTTTCCTGGAAGATTTGAGAAGCAGAAACCACATCGGTCAGAACTCACAGAACCAGCTCTTTAGTTGGATAGATCTTGTAGGTATGTCCATTGGGTCTATCCTAATACTGTACCTGTAACAGTGGTTGGTGATGGTTATATAGTAAAGGCATTTTTCAAAAATAGTGATAGTTGTTTACTGACTGTTACAGGTAATATGACAAACCCAATATATCCATGTGATTCCATGTGTATATATATATAACTATATATATATATACACCATTCCCAGTAGCAGTGGATGATGACGGTTAGGTTGGAGCCCTAAAAACATCTCAAACATCGTGATCACCTTGGACCGACGGCCGCAGGTGTGCTGGACTTTACTGCTACACCCTTGATGACTCTTGAGGACCATCAACCCCCCCCAGATTTGGTGCTCTGCCCGTGGCCACGCAGTGGAACGCTGCTGGCCGTGTCACACTCGATCGTGTGCGCGAGAGGCAGAAGAGGATTTCCAATTATATAGATAGATCATTAAGAGTCTAAATTATATAGATAGATCATCTGATAGATCAGATCCCAGCATGGATCCACTTGATCCCTCGCTGCCACTCTGAGGCTCCCCGCTGCCCACTGCCCCGACGCCACCGCCATCATCCCACGAGGCACCTGGGATCGGTGCCCCTCCAAGGGAGTGAACACTTAGCGCTAGGCACCCCCCCCCGACCGGATGGCTCGCAGTGGCGGCTTCCGGCCCGGGTTCCGAACCCACAGGGTCAAAGAACAGGACGAAAGGCCAGAGAGGCCTGCGGGCGAAAGGCATGGTGATGGCTTTTGATATGTATTTGTTCCTATGTGTTTTTTGTCATAGTGAAGGCATGTGTTTTTGTCGTATTGCATGGTCTAATTAGTCTATGTGAAAAACCGAATCCACATCATAGGCGGGCTTATTCGAGTCAACATGAATACCCACACTCCAACAAGCATTTTGCTGGTACCTATTTGCATTCTTGGGACAGTGACTCGGGCCCTGATACATTGGCAAAACACAAAACTGGTATAAGCATGCCTTTCCGTAATGCTTTCGGTCATGTTTGGTCAGTGATTTAATATGTATACAGTTATACAGGTCAAGAAATCACACAAACTAGACACTGGTCGATATATATAGACTGTAGATTCAAGAAAACGGCTGACTAATGGTCAGCGTCACCACAACCCATTTATCTGGCCACTCCGCTGCTTCCAAAAAAGGCAAGAAAAACACTTCGCGCCGCCTTGCGTGCACGCCGCGCATGTTTTGACCAAGAACGCTTGGTAAACCTCGTGAATACGGCGGAGGACCACTTTGAGCGGAATCTCAAAGGACCTTTCTCGAAAGTTATCCACTTCAAAAGGATCCGCCAAGGCCGTCGCGTTGCCTGAGGCCGACGCGCTCTCTCTCCCTCTTTCCCTCTCTCCCTCTCTCTCTCTCCCTCCCCTCCCTCCCTCCCTCCCTCCACATTGCCAGTCGAGTTTTCCATCACTGGCGTGCCAGGTATGAAAGACAAATGTTTGAGTCCAAGCCTTCTAGCCGAGCTATCAGGCTTAGGCTTCCAATCAAGATAGATCATCCGACTAACATTGACAGTCTCAATGAGAACAAGTCTCTGGTCGTTGGTCTTCCTGATCAGCGAGTCGTTGGTCCCGACACTCCCTCCCTTCGTCCGGTGTTGTTACAAGTTTTCGTTTCGTCTCGTCCACCGGGTGATGCCAAACACGGGTGGCCTCGGAGGCAAATGTGATGCTGTCCCACAGTGTGTGCCAGGCCCCCATAGATGCCGTGTCGGAGATTCCGTGGATGGTCCCAGGTCTCAATGCAAGCGATGTAGCCAGGCAAGGTGGGCGGCATCAATTCCGTGACGGCAGAACCTGCACCCCAACCAGGATCCGGATCAAAGTTGTTTTGGAATGGCAACTATCTGCCTGTCAGGGAGAGGGTATCAAAGTATCAAGATGTATCAAAGATTTTTTCCCAATCTGCTCTAACAAATATCTGGAATACCACATGTTCGGTTGGCAATGGGTTGAATTAGTTGCTCTTGAAGGACCAAAGTCAGTGTAAACTTGTGAAAACGTGTGAAAGCCTGGCCTAGCCCAACCTCGGTTCCCAACTGCAGTTAGAACTGTCCATGAGCCTATAATTCTATATAGACTATAGAGATGTCCAGAATGCTAAAGGGACCAAAGGGAACTTGGACCTCTACATTGTAACATGAGAGTTTGGGTCAAAACGGAGCGGGCAGGACCGAAAGCTAAGTTTGGTGGCTCAAACGTGGCCCCAACATGGGGATTTCCGCAGTCATCCGGTCATCCTACCTCACGAGATGATGCTCATCTAAATGTCCCTCAAATCACCAGGCTGTGCTAGTGACTCGTGTGACCAACCTGGGTGCATCGCCACCATCCACGCCAAGCCGGCACCGTGCGCACCCACCAGCACATCTGCCTCCACAGCTGCATCAGGTGGAACTCAGGGAAAATCGATTGATTTTTTTCAAAGCCAAGGCACGAGGAAGGTCCGATGGAACATGGAACTTAGTGAAAAGGAAGAGAAAAGACTTTACACCTTCCTGACCGACTGCCCGCTTGGCACCTTCGATGTCGGAAAAGAAACATACCAGGCTGATCCAGCAAACTGACGGTGAAGTGAATAAAAAGGGACAGGCACTAAGGTGAAACAAAATAACAAATGAACGCCGAGAAAGGCAAGCGGGAGAGTCCTCAGGCATGTAAATTGTAGCGGATAATAACGAAGGCCACTCACAAAGTGGCAAGAGCAAGCTAAAACAATCGATTTCTGGCATCTTGCAAAAGTTGGCATTGTTGTTCCGGGGTATTGGTGTAAGCGCTTTCGTGATTTTTCTTCCAGCAAAGATCTAAAGAGGTCACCAACCAATTCTTTCTGGGTCGCCCCGGTCTTCTGAAGAGAGGCGTATATGGGACAGCACTGTCCCTACGAAAACTTACCTGTCTCATGGGGTCGCGATTGTCAGTTCTCAAAACGTGTCCAGTGATATAGTTTAACCCTTTTTTCATGCAAACACTTTTCGATGCACCAAGTTAACTTGGGAGAGGGGTTATCTCTGGATGCAGTGGCTGCATTAGCCCTGCGGTAGACTTCGGCGTTCGTACTTCTACGGTCGATGCACGTGGTGTGCATTTTCAGGATCTTTCGAAGGCCACGTAGTTGGAAATTTTCGAGTCTAGAAAGCAAGGACTGTGTCAACTCCACCGTTTCAAGTCCATATATAAAAGCTTTGAACGGATCATGCTATTGTAGACAAAAAGCTTCCACCTGACAGGACAGCTTGCGGTTTTGAAAAGCATGTGCATGCGTTTCCAAACGGCCATAGTTGCAGAAATCCTGCTTTCAACTTCAGCTCGATTATCTACATGTCGTGTGAGGGAGTGTGAGGAGCCCCCCGAGGTATGAGACCATGACATGATCTTCATGTGGCATACGGGTTCCGTCCCTAATCGATTGAATAGATTCTAATAACTATGTCACTAATAATGAGTGGGGGTCCCCTTCTTGTGATCTGTCGGTTCAACAATCTAAAGGACAAAAGTCTCTGGTAGTACTTGTCTACATAACAAAGTTGGAGATGGTTAGGGAGAAGGCACCAGTGGAATGATCCACCAAATAAGGCCCAACATGCGTGCAGGTTGGGTGCATGCCGGAATCCGGGGGCGTTCTGGGAGAACCATCGAACGACTTGAAGCAACTTGAACAGCAAAAGACTTGCAGCTTTGCAAAGCTGGATTCGGGTGAATTTTTGGAACCTTTCAAAAGGGGGGGATATTACTTGTATATACTCAAGGGATCTTTAGGATCCTAGCCCCTTTGGTTTGAGACTATTTTGGTGTACGCGCGGCTATCTTCTCTTTTGGTGGCCGAGTGTGAATTCAACTTTTGACCCTGCCCTGCCAGAAACAGCTTGCCGAAATTACTTGTTTCACTGTGATATAGGTACTTCAGAGCGAGTGCACACAGAACAGAGCTAGGATTTTCCAACGAGACCAGGGGGCTTGGCACAAGAGAGACCTGGAGGAGCCAACCCCCCACCTGCAACACTGGCCCAACATCACTCCACTCGACCTCCAACATGTCTAGAGTCTGTAGGTTTTTTCTTCTCAAGACCCAAAGAGGCTCCAGTTCTCATCACCACTCACCACCCGCTGGATTTTTGATCCAATCCAATCCACTTGTCACTCTTTCTCGGAGAAACTCGTTCTCCAGTTCTCGATTTCTCGAGTTTCAGAGCGAGCACCGTGTGCGGGAGCCACGGCACACTACGAGTAACGCACCTGGGAGGCTAAGGAGAACTGCTCCAGCAACGAAAGGCTCTCCAAGGCTCGGCCCTCCACCACCCAGCGGCTCCTGGATCTCCTGCGGAGACTGGCCATGAACGGCAGTGGGAGGCGGGAGGTGCCGGCCCGGTGGGAGAAAGGAGAACTGGCCATGGATGAACGGGAGGTGCCTCAGGGAGATGTGCCTAGATACCTGAAGCAACATGAAGCTCTGTTCAACCAAACAGAAGGGGGAATGAGGTTGCGAGTAAGACAAAGTGTGGGACTCTCTCTCACTCACTCACTCACTCACTCTCTCTCTCTCACTCTCTCTCTCTCTCTCTTTCTCTCTATCTTTTTCTCTCGTCATCGCCCTCTCAGGTGAGTTCTCACGATAAGGTGGAAGAGGGAGTTTCAGGCTTCAACAAATCCCAAAAGATCGGCATGTTTGGGAACCAAGGTAATTCTATGCAGCTCCAGAATGTTCTGAACCTCTAAGACTTACAGTACTCTAAGAGGTTCATCAGTTGTTAGTTCATGGTCGTAGCATGCAAAGATGTCTCAGCGGCATCAGCGGATCATTACGTCTGCACAAACACCCACATAAGCACCGAAACAAGCTCCCTGCTCATGTCTGCTGGACCATGTCTGCTGGAATCCTCTTCAGAACACTTTCCTACACAGGAGAGCATCCTCCACAACTCTTCGAGAACATTGTGTCCAAACTGCCATGAACTGCCCACCATTAAACAAACACCAAACAGTGCAGAAGCAGCGAAGCTGTGGTGCTTTACCGCAGCGCAGCTGTGGTGCAGAAGCTGCTGGAGGCCTCGCTCCTCAAGGAGGCCTCCAGCTGCCCGAGGTTGCTGATGTGCCGCGGCTGGCCCTTGGCCCTGCGAATCATCAGCACCAGCCTCTGCGTTGATGCCCTGCGTGGCTTAGCCCCATGGCCTCCCTCGGCCGCCCGTGCGAGCGCCCGCCGGAAGAGGGCCACCTCCTGCTGGCCCATCTGTGGGTCCTCCAATGTGGTCGTTTGAATGAGCTTATTTACATGCGGGTTTGCCTAAGTTACGTTGACCTCCAAGGGGTGCCCAAAGCTCTTGGCCCTTGGCTCAAATCGCAAGTGCTGTTCTTTTTGAAAGCTTGTCAAAAAATATCAAACATGTTATATTCGGGATTTTAGCCAAGAGAGAGTTAAATACCATTGACTTCAGCTCATGGTATATAAACACCATTTTGACCAGACGTCTGTCCTTCATGTCGTAGCGAAAGGAACGAAAGCCCACGGTGCCTCGCTGGAAGCAGGTCTCGTCCCGTGAATGAGCCAGAAACGTCACAGGATGAGGCGTCAAGGCCTTGCCGCGTTTCTGAGGCGACAACAGTAAACCACAGGGGGCCGCAATGAGTGGCCCCCAAAATAGAGAGGATCGCACGGAACTTCCTGTCTACCAATATTAGTGGGGATCATGGAGATAGTGGCACGGTGTTCCTGTCGAAAATAACATGTATATATATATATGCGGGGATATTAGTGGGGACCTGTAAGGTTCTAATCTTTTCTATCTATTTCGGGGTCTAGATAGTGTTCCAAACGCCTGTTCGTTCCTGCGCTCAATCAGCAACTCCCAAAAGCCCACAAAGGGCACATCTAGCCCATCAGAGGGGCCATCACATCCATAACCCATCCTAACCCCATGCATTCTCCGGATCTGCGGTCTGAAGCACCTGTAAGATGGACTGGTGGAAGCCCAGGAACTTGAGCACATCCTCCCCCTCAGGCCTCACGCCGCAACGCCAACCCCACGCAAGCCAGCTTGCCGAACCGTGCGGTAGCCCCAAATGGATGTTTGTCCGCGTCGGGGGAAAGCTCTGGCGGTGGAGGTGGCCAGCTGCTTGGAACACCCAAAACAATCTCGGAAGAAATCGACCGACGCCCAATCTATCCCAGACATGACCCATGAGACTGCCATATATGCCGCCCCATTGACCCCCAAAACCACCGCAATGTAGATGAATATACCATACATGGAGTGTCTGGGTATGAGTTGATTGCCACCCCAGCGCAGCCCAGCACTTGAAACTGTGAGCGTGTGATGAAACTGTGAGCGTGTGAACACAAACTTCAGAAACGGTCCGTCGCAGACTGTCACAGAACTTTGCTGTTTTGGTTTTGGAGGATATGCTTTTTCTGCGTATCGCTTGACGGAATTTCACCATGAGGGAAAGCGCCCCTCCGGAGGGAACAGACAAGTCGGTTCACCTTGTTCCACCTGTCGGATTTGAGTAATTAAAGAAACCTAAATTTCCCCAACAAAAGCTTAAAAGAACTTAAGGATGTTAAAGGAACCATCCCTTTAGATTCAGATTTGAGTAGAGGAACTTAAAAGATCGTAAAGGTTCTCCACTGGAGTAGGGAATCGAATCCTTTCTGCCTCTGCTCTGCTGCTTGCCTGTCCACAGTCCAGCTCGCTGGTGCCAGGCGCCGGGGGCTATCGAAGACCAGGGTGAGATGGAGCTCTGGACCCCAGGACATCTCCTTCGAAGCCAGGCCATGCGCAAAGCAGGAAGATCCAGGAAGCCTCTTCTGGAGACGTTTTTCACACGATCACGGCATTGTAGTGAAAAGAGCCACCGGTGGGGGCCCCCCCCAAAACAGCACACACGCAGGAAAACCTTGCTGCTTTGGCTTTGAAGTTTGGATCAGTTTGGGTTGGTTGGTGGGTGGGGCTCAGGCTGCTGGGTGGCTGCTGGGTCTCGGGTTTAACCCAACCCATCACCACTCACAGCAAAATCACGAATGAGCAACCTGCTCTCAACCATGGACACCACATGCGATCCTTACGTGCTCAATTAGCAAGCCCAAGCCCAAGCAAATCAATTGCAGTGCTTGAACCCCAGCCTCACACATTCTCAAAACAGTTTCTCTACCAATGCTTGGAACAACCATGCACTTCCCTTATTCTTCTGTCTTCTTCACACGTTCGCCTCACAACCCCCTCGGTCCGGACCTCCTTGAGCGCCAGGGCAGGGATCCACCAGTGGAGTGCGTGCCACACGTTGGCGTAGGGCGTCCCCACAGGCACCAAAAAGACCTCAAAGGCCGGCTGCTGGTGGAAGTGGAAGTCCCTTCTTGACAGAAATGTATGGGACAAAATGCAGAAATTATGCAGACTTGCTGCCTAAATTGAAGCCACCTCCCCCCCAAAAAAAAACATTGCAAACACATGCTGGCGGATTGGACAGTCTCCCCAAACTTCGGCCACAAATCACATCATCACATCAGCTATCAGTTTTATTTATTTGGTTTTCACGGGATGAAAAGCCTCTTGGCTCGGATGAAACCGGAACATCCGAACACTCCGCTGTCGTAGGCTCCGTCGGCACCAGCTCCGCGTCCGAGGTCGAGCTCCAGGTGCGCCGCGAGATCCATTGGTTCCAGTCGATCTCTTGGACCAAGGATTCTCCATCTAAAGCCCCAAACTCCGTACACAAGGCCGCCCTTACAGCGCTTCCAAACCTCGATTTTTGGGCAAGACGACCGGCAAGCAGGGTGAAACTGAATGATACAGCGCTTCCAAACCTCGATCTCTTTGGGACGCAAGACTACTGGCAAGCAGTTGCAGGGTGAACCTGATGAGACATGCCGCTGGTCCAGGGAACAGCTACAAATACACCAAATACTGTAGCTTTGCAGAGTGGCATCAGTAGTGATATTTGCTAGATTTTTCTGGGTTTGGGGTGGATTAGTGACTGAATCCTGTCACCGAAGACCGCACACCGTGCTGGGTTACGGTTTCCTTTGGCATCTCCCGACCTCGACGACACACCAGTCCAAGGCCGAGATCGTCCATCGCCCATGGACTCAAAAAGTGAAATCCCTGCTTGCAAGTGGGAGACCATTGAGGAACAAGAATCTTTCCAGCGTTCAAACCTGGGCGGCCCGAGTTCTGGGCACCAAGCCATTGCCCTTCTGGACTAAAGATATAGAGGGGTCGATTTGGGACCATATACCTATATATGTTTACCTAGTGGTTGTTCACTTGGGGGTATTCACCCGATTCATCAATAACCAACAAGGGCAAAACAAACCATCTATTATTTTAGACACTCCTCGCGACATGTATCGTTCATGTATTGAATATTACATACAATTGGCAAAAAAACAAACAATTTGTTGGTCAATTCATGTGAATGAACAACATATTGCAACATGCCATCAATCTCGGGGTTGGTCCAACCTCCCCATGCCCATACTCGAAACCTGACTGTAAACATCCAGGCAATAATATATATAATACATCATTCAATTGTCACACTATGTCACACTCAAGATTCTTCAAAATCACCAGTTTCTTGTGACTTCAGGGCTTTACCCGCAATAAATCCTCTTCAATCTGTCTTGTTCCAAGCCACACACCCCCTGCTTCAGCCGTGCCGGCCCAAAACACTGGGCGCGCCGTGTCAGGTGCCGTGGCAGCAGTGCCGTGCCTTCTGGGCGACGCCAGGCGAGGAGCTGCACTGCGGCAGGTGCATCCAAACTCGAACGGAGAGACAGGACGTGCCGGTACCCTGGATTTTTTCCACCGAACATGAACGGAATGGACCACAGCCTTCTGGGTTCAAGACCCTAGGGCTCACGCCTCACGGGGGGCCGGGGCTCTTTTGCAGGTCTCGCGACCTGGGAGAGCGTCCAAAGAGCCTGCTTCTCCTGTAGGCACCTTCATCCTTGGTTCCTAGGTGTGGTGATTTTCCTAGCGCTTTTGCCATGGATTCCAGCTGCATTTTGGATCTCTTGGATGAACCCTGGCGCTCCCGCGCTCGCACGATCTTTTGTGGATTGGATGGTGGTCCCTCGCTGGACTGGGAGGATTGCAAAATCCTCTGCGGCACCTTCTGGAGCCGGGTGGATGATTGCTTTGAAGCATCTCTGTTCCCCTTTGTTAAGGGGCATGGTTTTCGTATGGATGGGCCTGCCCTTGATACCAAGGTGGTGATCCACGACTCAGCCAGGAGATCGCTTAGCATTGCTTCCGGAGAGTGCTGCATCTTTGCTGGACCGCTTGCTCGCCTTGAGGACGGGACCTGGAAAGGGGAAAACTCGGTCACGATTCTCAGGAGGACCTCGGCCGTCGAACATGATGCCATTGAATGCCTGCATTTGTTCGCTGGGGCATTTTCAGGGTGGAGTCAAGCGACCTCCACTATTCCATGGATTCTGCCTCAGACTACGATTGGCACCCAGGTTTTCGTCGACCTCGACTGTGATGTGATTGCAGCTTTGTCCATGAAACTTGGAATCAAACCTGTCCAAGCGCCTTTGACTGCCACCCAGGCCTTCGAGATCACTCTAAACAGGGTCATCCAGGGGGATGTTGCTGATCCTACCATTCTGCATTGTGTTCAACCACTTTCCAATTTGGTTTTCTCAGCCTCCCCGCCATGTGTATCCTGGAGCAAAGGCGGTTTCGGCCGTGGGCTCAACTGCCCAGATGGATGGGCAATCGTAGAAGCGATCAAGCAGTGTGCGATCGGCCAACCTGTCCTTGTGATGTTCGAATGTGTCGATGCCTTGGCACAGCACTCCCATTTCAAGATCATCACCTCGATGCTTCGCGATTTAGGATATGTAGGAATTTGGGAGGATGTCGTTCATTATCATGCATTTGTCCACATGCACCGCTCCAGGTGGCTGGCATGCTTCGTTCGACATGACATTGTCCATCATGGTCCCAAACCGGTGCCGTGTCTCAAGTCTGCCTTGCCAGAACGATGGACTTCGGAATCTTTTCGATTTCAGCTCCCTCGATCGTTGTCGGATCAAATTGCCATCCCGTCTCAGGTCCAGTCTGCCTATGCACAGCACTCGTTTCTACCACCAGCCAAGAGAGCCAAATTTGACCCTGCCGCTCCAGCTGAGGTCATCCTACGTGCAAGATTCCTGCAGCCTCATGAGCCGGTGCCTACGGTGTGCGCTGCCTATGGGTTTCAACATCTTCTCCCTCGACACCTCCTCGAGCAGAAAGGCATCTTCGCCACACTCAAAGATGGTGATGCAGGACCTGAATTCCTTGATCCGGCACTTCTTGCTGCGATGCTCGGCCTCTTCGAACCAACAGTATTGTCGAATCAGCTGCAACTCCTCTATCGCCAGATTGGGAATTCTATTGCGACACCCCATGCTCTTCTGGCGCTACTCGCTGGACTAGACTACCTCTTTCAATGGGGTCTGGATGTCAACGGAGCAATCAACAAGGTCTGGCAAAGGCGAATTGTTGGACAGAAGGCGATCATCATTGAACAACGAGACTTCTACATCCTTGCTGGCCTCGATTCCATCATTGAGCAAATCACTGTCCGCAGTGACCTTGTGACAAATGACTCTCACGTCACATTACACTGCCGGCATGTCAATGGCAGGATCGCCTATCTCATTGTCAAGCTGGCACGGACTGTCTCCGACCTCCTCAAGTGCTTTACTTGGAAGTTTGACATCTCAGCCCATGTCTACATTGCAGCCACAGGAGAGAGGCTCGTTCCATCCCAGACTGTTGGCCAGATCTTCGAGCAATACCATGAATGGACCCTCTTTGTCCGTACTTTTCCGATTGCCAGCCTGTCAATCTGCAAGGACTATGTCACCTGTGCGCCGACTCAAGATTGGCATGGGCCTCAACCTCTTTGTGACGCCATTCATGACCAGCCTTCTGATCCTTTCCGTCTCAAGCTCGTTGGAGATGATGACCTCTTCGCCGATACTCAGTTTCAGTTTGCCCTCTCCCTCCTTGAGAGCAACTGTATTGAAGTCTCTTCATTGAGCGGTCACTTTTGGAACTACCCCGTGTACTCTCACCTTCAACGGCTTTGGTGACTCAGAAGCTCGACTACGCTGCATTCGTGAGTTATGGGATCATCTTGATCAGGACACTCAGCATTTCGCTTTCAAGATTTGCGACCATGGTGATTTGTCTCGACTTCCACCGCATGGGGTCGTCTTTCCCAAATTCACGGAAGACAGATTGGTGCTGCTTCAGTTCGGGCCTCAGGATACCACGTGCGGCTTCTTCATTCCAACAAGGCTTGAGTGTCCTCTCTTCGAGATTGGCCCCTACCGTTACCGGCTTATGTTCAAGAATGGAAGTGACCCTGGTCCACCACCCTTCCACTTCGACCACGGTGACTTCTTACACCTTACTTTGCAGAATGACATTCACTGTGGAGGACATCATGGAACTCGGTCCACTACTATCCCGGCTGGGGCAAATCTTCTGCAAAGAGCCGAATTTGCCAGCAACACTGGTGGCTGGCTTGCATCTGATGAGATGGCTTTCTTCCTGCGGCAACTGACATGGCTTGCACCTGAGTTTGCCATTTTCCATCCTGCCATTCGTTGGAATCTGGAGACGGCCAACCTTGATGCGAATGACTACCAGGAGATTCTCATTGCCAATAACAGGCTCAACATCCTTCCGATCCTCTCTGGTTCGCACTGGCTAGCCTTTGAGATCCAGCGAGAAGGGGCCAACACCCATGTCACCTTCGTTGGTCTCCCTGGGCCTTTGCTCAGAAGTGGTTTGCAAGTTGTTGCTGAACTCCTCGACATCACGCCCGAGCTACTACATCGGTGGGCCACGGCTGCAGGGATGCTGGACCACATGCCGCTCAATGGTGACCTTTATGCCACTACCTCCATCGCTGCACGTGCTATCATTGACGATGTTATCGAAGACTCTATTGAGGACTGGAACCAGCATGGCATCCCATATGGGCTTTGGTTCTTTGCAGCCACTCTGCGTCGTGCTTTCTTCAGCTTCCTGGCTACCACTACTTTGAGGGGCAATGCAGTGTTGCAGGAGGCTATCACTGTTGTCTTTGATGATCTTGCTGCCGGTCCTCAGCCTGAGGAGACACCAGCTATCCACATCGATAGCCCAGATAGCCACATGCACCATCGCATTCAGCACTTCAACTCGTACCCGGGCTGGCTTGGATCAGATGAGCTGGATTTTGTCCTTCAAGCGATTCGTTTTCAGCGACCTCAATTCTGCTTCATGCCGCCGGCAAGATGGGACGCAGCCTCTGGAAACCTCTTCTACTTCGATGACCAACGACGAGATTTCAGAGCTTATCAGCATGTCACGTGGTTCATTCTCATTGAGCAGTGCTGGACTCAGATCGATGCACATGCTACCGCTGCGACTATGACTCTGTTCATGAGTTTGCCGGATGCACTTGCTCACCATGCTGGCCCTCTTGCCACCTTTATCATGTCGCAAATTGACGAAGCTCAGCTTACTTGCCAAGTACATATTGTGCGCTGCAACCCCGAGCCGAACATGTGTGGATGGGTTCTCCTCCACTCCTTGTGTGAGCGCCTTCGTATTGCAGTACCACCACTTGCAAATGAGGTGCAGCAAACCATCAACCTGTCACGATTTCGGGTGCAGATTCGAAGCACTATTGAACGGGCTCGCCTGGTTTGGAATTTGTCCTCTTCGTTTCCTCGGATCACCAACTTTGCCAGTCTTGTGCGCACCAACTTCCTCCACTACCTCCTTGCCAACAGAGGAGCTCTCCAATATGCTGCAGGAGGTGGAACTGAAAAGACCACGCCCCTTGCAATGCTGCTGCAGGGTCTGAGAAAATTGATCAGCTTCAAATCAATGACCCATGGGCCTCCAAGCCTGCCAAGCCCAAAAACTCTCGGAAGCTTTTTCAGACACGATGGGAAGACCTCACCATCCCTGCGGATCACCCGCTACTTGATGAGAAGGGAATCCCTGTACCACAGGTTCATCGGCTGCAGGCCAGTGCCAAGAAAGCGGGAGCAGTTTTGGCTACGAAGTCAGCTATCCAGGAACTCACGAGAATCACTCCGTGTGCGACAATGTTGGTCATCCTTCCTGGCAATGACAAGAACCAATACAGTGAGCTCGGGCTCAAAGTCATTGGCCCCTACGAACTCGTCCTTGAAGATGCCCAAGCCTAAACGGCCTACAAGCGGCTAGTCATTCTCTGGCAACTGCATGGTGCTGTTACCTACAAGCTTCCTGACCCCAAGGTCCAACTCACAGCCGCTGAAGTTGCAGAACTTGTCATGGATGCCGACTCCAGGCTTATCGGCCCTCAGCTCACTGAACAAGCTCAACAGCAGCAGATCCTCTTCCTCAAGCACCACTTTGCACAAATCCACCCGGATTGCTGCGACAAAGCCAACATGTATGCTTTTCGCATTGGCAGACATCCCTCAGCCGGCAAAGATGACAAGAACTTCCAATGCATCATCAAGCTTCCGGTTGCCTCTCGTCCCAATGTCCTCAGATCCAGCGGATCGGCCAACTTCCTCTTTCGAGACTACCTGACCACAGCTGATGATTTTGATGACATCACGGTATTGCCCAGGTTCTGGGATCCGCAGCCAACTTCTGTCCATGAGGTTCTCATCATGACCAAGGGCATTGGAGGATTCGCTGGACTTTGCCTGACCAGACGTGGGCTGGCCGCCCGTGCGTGGACATCCAAGGTCGCTGAAATGCGCAAA